GTGTGTGTGTGTGTGAATCTGCATTTATACACATGTATTAAGGGGGAAAGGGTCTATGCAGTAAATTGCAGTAAACCCATATTCTCATTCTTCCGGGTTTGCCAGTGAGCTGTGGCTTACCTAAAAGCTCCCAGAATAGCAGCTCTACTCCTGGCCTCATCTGTTTCGTGTAAGACAGCGGCCACAAAGTTCTCCAGTACGCCCCTATTCTCCCACCCTCCTACCACGACTGTGTTGCTGTGCACCCTTGAAACAGATATGGCACTGCAGCGAGTTCATGGGCAGTTTGCCGGCCTCACCAAACAATAGTTGTGCTCTTTCCCTGAGGCAGTTTATGTTTCTCAAAATTAACTTTCTGCTTCCCAGAGTTTAGTTCTTATGCAGTGGCCGCTTAAAGCTGTGGTTATAGGATGGAGGAAAAAGAAAGAGGCTATGAAGGTAATTTTTGTTTATCTAAGTGAGGGAATGAATGCTCTGTTACCCTCAGCTGGCATCAGGACAGCAAAGTGCTGGTTTCAGTGTGGGTGAGTTGAGAGCTTATGCAGAACTGACAGAAGAGAAAGCCAGCACAGATCAGAAAATGACTGAAAACAGACGGGTCGGAGAAAAGGGGTCTGTCTTGTAATCTAGTCAATTTCCAATTTATTCTCCAATTTGATTAAAATGTGTTGCACAACACAAAACCACAAAACAAAGCAGAGTGGCACTAAGCGCCGCTACATGTTGTGGGCAGATGTCTGAGTGGGCCGAGCAGGAGAAAGTGAGCAAGCCTGCCAGCGTGGGTGTCCCTTAATGTCAACTGTATCTGTAAAGTGGAAAGTAAAGGAATGACAGCACAAATAAAGTTGCAGCTATGTTTCTGTCTGATGTGGGGCTAGATAAAACCGCTGTGGTGATTGTGTGTGAAAATAATTTGCCTTATTCTCTAAGTCTAAGTTCAGGGAATTATTTCAAGTAAATTTAGTATCGTTTATAATTGAACATGCATCTGACTTCTGAACTGGTCTACATCCATCCTTTTCTGCAGTCAGGATAAAAGAAGTGCTAAAAATTATTTGCAACGGTGATTTGTTTCCCGCTGCTGTGGAGGAAAGATCAAACGATGAGGAGGAGGTAAGAGGGGTGAGAAAGGAGGTTAAAAGGCTGCTGGAGCAACTGAGGATAATAATAAAAGAGGACCACATAGCAGTATAGGAGATCAGGGTGACAGTTTGTATCTGCTGGCAGAGAGGAAGAGGAAGAAAACCAGCTGGGAAACATCTAAGCTTCTGCACATTATTGTAAAATATTAGGACAGAGCGGAAGGCTTATAACCTCAGATTTATATCATGCATTTATTACAGTGCACTGAGTGAAAAAGTAAACACAAGTACTTGATAGCAGAGTGTGTGTCCCTGTGTGTGTGTGTGTCTGTGTGTGTGAAAGAAAGAGAGAGAGAGAGAGAGAGGACTCTTGCACAAGATCCCACTAAGCTGTCTCTGCCATGGATGACTTCATAGCAGATGTTTAGCCGCTTTAAGCACACGTCCACCTGGCCCTTACAAACAGCCAAGATAGGTCTGTTTACCTAAATAAGCCAAATCACTGGTGGACAGATGCCAGAAAGAGAATATGGAGATCTCCTCCAGTTCGTGCTGGTGGGGAGGCTGTGGCTTAGCGTTTATCCATACACCGAGTCCTGACCAGGGCTCTGTAGTCATCCTCCTGCCAAATGCAAAATAGATAGCTTTTTGAATATAGATGGGCAAGAATTTAAAGAAAAAAAACAGATTAATGTGTCTTCTTGTTGTTATTCTTTCATTTCATGGTTTGATGACAGTTCAGTCCAAAATCTTCTGCAGGTGTTCAACTGGATCGAGTTCTGGTGACTTTGAAAGCCGTAGCATATGATTCCCACTAATGAAAGCATTCATGAGTGTAGTCCTTGTGCCCTGCAAAAGTATCTGTATCTGCATCTGTTTTTTTCCTTCTGTCGCTGCTCTCTGAAGAAGCGCTTGATTAAGTCCATTGACTGGTCATGCCTTATGGAACACTGACATCTAGTGGTCAGAATGGTGTAACTCTTTGATGGAGAGTTTCCTGAAGGTGAGACAATAATTAAGTTTCTCCTCTGTCCTCAGGGTTTTCCAGGTCGAGATGGCGTTGAGGTGAGTCAAAGAGTCAAAGCCAGTTAACACCTCAAGCTATTTGATTGTTGTTTATGAAGCACTGTAATAAGTCTTTTTTTTATCTGTCTCTGGATAATTACGATAACTAAATATATTTTTTCCTCAGGGGTCACAGGGATTGCCTGGGAAGCCGGTGAGATCATTAATAGATTACTGCCTTTGATACAAATGAATTGTCCTACTTCTTGTTTTCCTCAAACACCCCAATTGCTGTCTGCTCCATAGGTAACATGTAACTAAAAGTTTGTACTTTTGACTTTTAATGAACTGACAGGGCGAAGATGGTGAGCCTGGATATCCTGGACCACAGGGTCCTCCAGGAGCAAAGGTACAGATAAGCTTTACTTATCTTGCATGCTGATTATTTCAATGTATCTGTCTTTCCATGCACTGACCTTGAATGTTTAATTTGTATTGAAACAGGGCGCGCCAGGTATAGGAGAAAAAGGAGAGCGAGGCATGGATGGACTCCCAGGATTAAAGGTAGAAGACCAATCTGAAATGGCATTTAAACAATATACATGACAATAATTAGTACTTTTCATAATAACTACCTAATTTCTATGCTATATAAAAAATTATAAGTATCTAATTGCCTGAGAGTTTTACCCTAATATGCCTCATCTGTGCATTACACAGGGAGACAAAGGGGAAGTAGGAGAGCAAGGACCACAAGGACCCATGGTATGTGTCGTACCCTTTTAACATACTTTTATTATAGTATTAAACACCTATAGTGTGATTATCTTCAGTTATTTATGTATTTCTCATTCATGTTTTTCTGTCTCTACTTCAGGGTTTTTCTGGTGAAAAAGGCGCCACAGGCTCCTCAGACATCATTGACTTCAATGGGAAGCTTCTAGATGCTTTCCAGGTGAGTGATATTAAAGTGTCAATGAGGCCAGATTTATGGTTACATCATGTAATCCATCGGGCATTTAGTACATCAGGCACAACTTTAAACAAGCCCAGAAATGGTAGTGTGTTGAGAAACACACATTTGAATATTTTCTCTTTCGAAAACCACAAAACTGAACATGTCGCCATTTCTTCTTGACAGGCCATCAACACCATCAGTGTTTCGGTAATCTGCTGTTGTGTCTGCATGGTTTTGGTCGAGTGATCAGTGACTAACATCTGATAATGCATAGACTTACACAGACTTGCATAAGCACACATCCTGTATGTATCCACACCTTATCCCACTTGCTTCAGCCAGTGGATATTTGCTCTTGTAGATGCCCTCTACCCACAACTACATACTTCAAAAGTATTGGATGTCACTTTAGAGACCACATCTTAAGAGTCTACATCTCCACATCTAAAGGGTTTACTAGTACCAGGCTCTTTTTTGTATTCATTTGGGATGAAATACACAGCCCCAGCAAATATAGTACAGCTGTTCAGATAACATGAAGCCTTAAGAAGCATGCTTAATCATGCAGAAAAATCAACAGCCTTTGTTACACTGTCCTGAGTGTGTTTTCATGCTATGTATGTTCCTCACAAGATATGTGGCCACCACTTTGCTACAGGGCAGCATGGTGTTTTTTTGTCTATGTACTTGTTCTACATAACTTAGTGATTTCACAAGGGGAATGCATTGGAAAGGATGTGAACCCCTCATAGTCACCACAGTCTTGGTTTCATGCTCTTCTCTTCATACACAAGACCCTTTGATTCTTCCATGTACCGTGCTACATGCTAATAACAGATGGCTATCTCTGCAGAGGAGTGTGTATTTGATTAAAAACCACTATGCACCAGGTCCCCTTGAACCCGGCCTAAAATGGGCTCCTGCATGCAACTCTGGTAGACACTAGCGTGAGATAGTCACAAAGGAGTTGATGAAAACATGAACCTGAGATCTTATCACGAGCCTCTTGCCAACGTGGATTAGTTGGCACCAAATCACACGCAAGGTCTCAGCTAGAGTTATCTATGGAGTGAGGAGTTCTCATTGGCCACCCAGTTTGTTATGATCCATTCATTTGTTTGTGTGAAAAGTCGTATTGGTTTCATCTGTGGTGAACTTTTAGGTGATGATGAATTTGGTTTAAAATGATGCTGAAATTTTATTTGGTTTGTTGTTGTTTGTTACTATCATTCATTTTACGGCTTTTTGTGTAATTATTTGCATGAGTAGCCTTCACTTTCCAATGATGGAGTATCTCAGATCAAATAGATGTTTGTAAACATCTTTTGGTTTCCATGGCTTAAATGGGAGGCCAACGTAAAGTTAGGAATTGGAAAAAAGGGAGAGAGTCAGCATGTACACCTCCGGGAGGCAACATGAACTCTTTTTTTTATGACTTCAAGATGGCTGAGGACTTCAGAGGGAGAAAAAAAACAAGTGTAACACTGTGCATATAGAGATTATGGAGCGTGATTTAAGAGGCTGTCACTCATCAACCAGCATAGTAGACAGCATGGGATGGATATGGTATGCAATTCTTCATCCATTGTTAGTGTTACATAAAGTCACATAAATGTTTTGTTTCTCCTCCTTTTGTGCAACAGTCTCATCCTGCATCGAAAAACAATCAATGGAAAATGACGCCAGGCTTTTGTGTAGCACAAACCACATTCAGCACTGTTTTACAACCTTTGTGAGATAAAATTGCTTCAAGTTGGTTGTGATCAGCGAACAGAGTGAACGAAAGTAGTCAACAGCTTTGTTTACTGTCAGGATTGCGTTATGAAATCCATCAGCTTTGTTGTATTGTTTGGCGTTGGCTCGTATTCAAGCCTTATGGTGGAATTCTGAGAGTTCCCAGTTTTTCCACCATTGTGGTAAACAGAGTAAACAGCTATATATACACAATATGTCTCTGTGACTGTCTGAAAATGACAGATATAATTGGCTATAATCAGATATTTTATATTAACAATGGGTCACATGGCTTCTTTTAGGTGAAAGGGTGCATTAACTGTGACAAGCCTGCTTCATTTTAACAATATCTCTGCAGTTCCCCTCAGCTCTATAGAGCTTCACAGTGACTTTTTCTTTTCCAACCTGCAACTTTACTGTTTAGGTTTACTCTCACAACTCTTCTCGGCAGTGTTTGTGTCCACAACAGTCGTCCATTTTCAGCACAAAAAGACCACTGTGTGTTACCTTTTCCAACACCACAACCACTAGACAGACAGGAAAAGTAAGCAACTGGTGAACATAGTGGAGTATTTGGTACTTAAAGAGCCAGATATTTCCCTCAGGAGTCCGTGAGAGAAGGAGAGTTAATGGAGAGTAATTATCGGAACCCATTTATCAGGTGGACATACACATGGATGCTAATATTGCTCCGTATCTGCTGGATGTGCATTATACTGTTTGCTAACAAGTTCACCACCAACTTAAAAAGAGATGATGTGCCAGTGTTGTGTTAACAGCTTGTTTCCACTGACCCCAAGTGGCCATTTCCTGTAGGTGCACGACAGTTAAATTCTAATTCATAAAGTTTATCTGGGCAATTTGATGTATCACTCACTCAATTTATGTCTTTCTCCAGGGCCCACCTGGACCACCTGGACCCCCAGGCTATCCAGGGGAAAAGGTAAATCCCTCTGTTGTCTAACTAATGTACGGCCATATGCTAGTAATTAGGTTTCATGAAAATCCAAGTAGATTTTATGTTAGTTAAAGCCAGTCATATTCATCAGTCTTTCCTCTCTTCTTCCAGGGTGAGCTTGGTTTACCTGGACCAGCAGGAGTTGATGGGGAGAAGGTAAGATTGCAAAGAGGCAGAAATTACATTGATCAACTTGGTTTACACCTTTTTAAGATATATTTGGTGGTTTGAGAGCTTTTATTTTTCCACTACTTCTTATTATGCTGAATGTGACATCTCTGCTTCGATTCTTGGCCTCCAGGGACCTAAAGGTGAAATTGGTGAGACAGGACGACCTGGCGAGAGAGGAGAGAAGGGAGAGATGGGTCTCTCTGGGCCTACTGTGAGTAGTGACAATAAACAAGTTTCTCTGATATACAAACAGTGAAAAGTACATAAACAGCTGGAAGTTTATCTTGCTCTTTGTGGCTCAGGGTATGGACGGACACAAAGGAGAGAAAGGCGACTGCAGAATGGACGACAACCTGGTTCGTGTAACACCCGCACAGTTCATCACCACTCATATATGTGTATAGATCCATGCAGACACATAAGGGTCAATCATTTGAAGGAGCAGTAGCTTTGCATATTTTAGCCTTTTTTATCCTGTAGGCAGTCATCGGTTTCCATTGATTTCCGTGTGGCGTGAATGTTTTCAGATCAAAACATGCTTGAGTTGTGTGATCAATCACAATAAACATCAAGGCTACGTTAGTTATTCCAAACTCTTCAACATGCTTTGTAAAAACAGGAGTGATATAAAATATATATGACTTGTGGTTGAGGAGCTAAAATGTGCAGAAACACTGGTGGTCCTTTAATCAGTCAATCATCTCTGGGTATATCATAAGTTAAATGTATCAACAATGATTTTTCTGCTCCTGCTTGACTTATTTTACTGGTGCTCAGGTTCAGATGATTTCTCAGCCAGGCCCACCTGGCCCACCCGGCCCACCAGGGGTTCCTGGTTCCCCTGGATCCATGGTGAGTACTTATATCACTATCTAAATCCAGGTATAACCTATTCAAGTCAAGTATGTTGTTTACACCTGTAACTGTCACACTCACAGTACACAATGTTTTTCAGGGGCTGCACGGAATGCCTGGTCCTAAGGTAAGACTGCCAGACCATGGATCTAGTATGTGATGGAGGCTATAGTGTGTTGTTTGGTGCTCAGTGTTTCTGTTTTCTGATGCAGGGTGAGCCTGGATATGGGATGAAGGGAGAGAAGGGGGACGCTGGCCCTCCTGGACTCCAAGTAAGTGACACTGATCCATTACTATCATAATCAGACATGATGTACCTAGACACGGCACAGTGATGATAATGTACTTTAACTGCAGGGATTAGACGGCCCCCAAGGATTACCTGGGTCTGCAGGGTTAGTGGGACTTCCAGGTGCAAAGGGAGAAAAAGTAAGCACCCTCCATAAATGTGTTTACCATCTTATTTTGATTGTGTGGGTCCTGAATAAAACATGCATTATGATTCATATGTGTGAATGTGTGTTTGCAGGGCAGACCAGGAGAGCCTGGACTGGATGTAAGTGTCTGACTGAGAATTTAGATCCTGAAAATTACAATAAGATCGTTCTTTAATGTTATTGAACTTTAACCTGTATCCTCTGATAAACTACCTTCTGACCCATTTGTGTTTCTCTGTCCAGGGTTTCCCAGGTCTGATGGGAGAGAAAGGTGACCGAGGGGAAAGAGGAGATAAGGTTAGTACAGATTATAGAAAAAAAATTATTTTATATCATCAACACAAAGCTCCTATCTTTACCTTTCCAGACATGTATTGGTTTGTAATGACACAAACAGTTTTGTCTTGATGTACTAATGTTGTGTGATAAGTATATTTATTAGTGTGTGTGTGTCTGCTGTCCTCCTTATGTCCAGGGTGACAGGGGAACAGTGGGGAAGAGAGGTCTAAAGGGCCAGAAGGGAGAACAGGGTCCTCCAGGCCTGGACCAGCCGTGTCCTGTGGTATGTCTCTCTCTTTTACTCACACACACACACACACACGCACGCACGCACACACACACACACACACATTTGAACTGATATACCTACTAACCCCTTCCTCCCACACACTATATTTCCCTACTTTCTTCTATCAGCACTGTTTCTGTCAATCTGTGTTTTCTGAGTTTCTTCCTTTAAAGCTGTGAATGTTTTACTGGCTCTTGCTGACAGGGTTGTGATAAGACTAAAGGTCTGTCTGAAGGGGCAGGGCTTTCTTCCCCTCCACCTATTTCTCCTTCCGGCCCTGAGGCCCCCTGTCCTGTGGTACAGTATCTTTGCCTCCTTCTTCCTCTTCTCGCATGTTATGCATCTACTGTTGCTATTTTCTATTCAAACACTTTTTTTCATGCCTTATTCATATCGTTATCACCAAACCATACTCCATATTTAGGTCTTCTGTAGGGTTTCTGTAAATTGACATTCAAACTGACATTCACAGATAATAAATACATTGAAAAATATATATCTCATATCATGTTTTTATGTTTCTTTACAGTTTAGTTTTTGTAAGGATATGTTAAGCTAAGATAACTGGCTGCTGCCAGTAATCTTATATTTAGATATGAAAGTGGTATCAATCTTCTTATCAAATCTCTGCCACGAAGAAAATAAGAGTATTTCCCAAAATGTTGCCCTTTAAAAACTACAGATTACAGGAAAAAAACATCAGAATTTATCAACAGCATAATTGTTTTGCACCTTTTTTGTTATTTTTGTATGCTTGAAATTGTATTTTTTATAGCTTAGCCTTTGCTTTATTTTATAACATCAGTTTGCAGATAAGCAGTGCACACCTTAGACCCTGTACCTGTTGTATTTAAATCAGCAGGATGCAGAACTGTAAGGTGTCTTCAAGCATGCATTACTTGACATTTTCTGGCTTGTTAACTCTCCACCGCTGTTCTCTCTCTCTCTGCAGGGACATGATGGGATGCCCATACCTGGCTGCTGGCACAAGGTGGGTGTCTGTTTTTTTTTTTAAAGCATATTGTTAACTAATGGAATAATTAGCATTTGATTGTGAAACAGCAGCAGGCACGGTCAGGGAGCAGTAAAAAGCTAACGCTATATGTAATCAAAGCATACACTGAGATTATTACTCATGGATTGTCAGCATTAAAATAATTGCTTGACTCTGATTTGACACAGGGACATTTTGTAAGTATATTACAGCGTGTGAGCTTGTAATTGTAAAGCATGAGTATTTGAGGTCATTTTAGGGGCTTGTGTTCTGATTTTAATTTGATATGCTACTAATAATCCCTATTATTCTTGTTTTGCAGTGATGTGACTAACCAGCAGCATGGAATCTGTATATATTGATATGGTATATATTGGAATTGAATACTTCACCAACAACCCACTCCCTTTTTTTCCCTTTTTTTCATAAAACGTTTTATATAATATATTGAGATTTTTTTTTTTTTTAACAAGGACATTTTTGAATCTACAGTATTATGAAAACTTTTTTTAAACTCTAGAGATCCAGTGTTGAGTGAATGCAGCCATGGTTTTAAAGAGAAGAAACTGAACTGGCAGTGGGACTCTTACTTTGAAGGACAGTCCAGATGACAGTCTAGCTGCCTTACTAACAAAGTCTGACTTGCTGCCTGATTGTAATCATGAACGCTGTACGGATATGACGGTGTGTGCACTTACCCAGTCTCACTCTCGTGGATGGATGGATGCATGGATGGATGGACAGATCTGCTGGCTGTGGCAGATGGAGGAATGTGGGTCAGTACTCTCTTCTCCTCTCTCTGTTTTCTAAAAAAGGAGGAAATGGCGAGACAGAAGCTCAAACGCAAGCGTCTCTCTCAGCCCTGAAGGGGGTGCGGGGCCCGGTGGAGAAAGGACACGTAGACAGGCAGAGAGCACAAAGGGGCTTGACTGGCCTTTATGAAGCAGAGCGTAATGCCTCAGTGTCACACTGAACACTCAGATCCTCCGTTACGGAAACTCTCCAGGAGGTGGGGAGGGGCGACAGACAACACTGCATCTTCACATTCACCTGAGAAGACAAGACACACCTGTTGGTTGGCTGGTGATGTTGGGCAATAGCTTGATAACCAGTAAAAAAGTTATTTGGGAGTCACTGACGTCACTGGCACATAAGGAAGGATTTACTGCACAGATACGTTGAACATGTTGTGACGATCTCTTCTATGGCTCTTTTATAAAAAAGGTTTTCACTAATTAAATGCATGATCATAACGAGACACAGTAGCATCCTGACAGCTTGTACGACTTGTGGTCCCTCATTGAAACCTCAAACGATTCATTTCATTTACAATAAGCAGTCTTTGATAGTCTTTCCATTCGAACAAGCCATTCAGAAAAGTCAGTAAGTCTACCTTTTTTATGGCTTACACTTGTGGCCGTGGTAACTTGTGTGTTGTTTTGTTTTATTTTGTTATATTCTTACCTGTTTTTTGTCCAGTTACATTTTGCATTCCTGTGCATTGCCATGTTTGTGGAATATATCGATAGTGAAACTTAAAGGCCAGATCTGAAGGAACCATTTTCAGTATTCATGATACAGTGTTTCAGTTGTCTTGACAAATGATTGCCAATCAAAATATTTCCTTAATAATTTTCAGTGTCTGATCATTATCTTTTAATCTCTGATCAATACATGTTTAAATAATGACAGTTTATCTGGACAACAGTGTAAGTTCTTGCTGCTGACTTAAATGTGTGTTTGTTTGATATTTTTGAATCAATATTTGTCATTTCGACTGAAGGACTAACAGACTAAAGTATGAAATTTCAATCAAATGTATAGACAACTGTTCTTTTCTGAGGGTAATTATTAATTTTCATTCAGTAATACGCCTTAGCACAGTGGTTCTCAATTATTTTGTGTGTATGTTTTCTTTCAAATATCACAAAAAGTTTGTGTCTTTGCTATCAGATGACTTTTATTGGTGTGTTTTGGTCTTCGTGATACATTTTTCTCAGATGGAATCATTTCTTGGTGCTTAAATACTTTTATGTACCGTTTTTAAAGCTCTACTCTGCATATTATATATGTGCAGAACCACACACGTCCACAGATACACGTGCATTGTTTAAAGAAATGTTGAACATAGAAAAAAACTAATTTTCAGATATTTGGCTGCATGTATGCAGGACAGAGATTTCTCATTATTTGGTTCTGTTTACATGGACAAAAATACAAACACATGAAAGGAAAAATGTGTTCAGGTTTCTTAGTGGTTAGTTTCTGTTTATGCTACATTGATATTAGTTGCACTTTTTGATACTATATGAAAAATATTCAGCAGTTATCTTTTTTTTCAAAGGCAGAATCCATATTCAGGTTAACACGAC